TGGAGCGTGTCTGAACACGGGGCAGAATTTTAAAAACCTATAGGATTTTGTTGAGAACTCCAAAGTTCAACTAATGCCCTATTTTAGGGTGAAAACAATTATAATCTAAAATGATGCACAGCATCCATGAGCAGTTTTCCTCTCATAGTAATTTGCAGTAGTGTCACTGACTACAACAGATATCGAAGGTTTACATTTCTAACGAGAAATAACAGCAGATTGAATATTCTCTTCCCTATCACAAGTGAAGACCCGCGTTGGGTGGGCTTTCACTTTCCTCCAAGAAACAGCAGTCTGCCAACGTTTTGAAATAAAATGTTTGCCCTAACAATTCTCTGTAGAACTTGAAATTAAAATAAGGATTGGAATCTGAATTTAGAGACTTAAAAAAATAAAATAACAACAAACATAATACTAAAAGGAAAGACCGAGGTGTACTTCGGGGTCTTCTGACAAAACCAACGGTGAGAACAGAGACCAGGCGAGGCCCGAACGAGACGATGTGCTAGACTGGAGGCGAGCCGGCGCTCGCGTTGAGGGCTGCCACACTGGCACCGCACGGACTGCACACTTCCTTCTCTGACGGAAAACAGGCTACGTGTCCAGCTACCCCACGGGCGTGTACGCTTTGGGTTAGTTTTGTTTTTCTCATGTCTCCTTTGTGTTTGGTGTTCAAGTTTAAGGAAGAAGAGTCCGCTTTCTTTTGTGTAGCATATACGTCTTTCCACTTTATGGACGAGATCTTTAGAAATGGACGTGAGCGCCTCCTCTGGCAGCAGCGTCTGCCTCCGCAGAAGGTGAGTGGGGCGAGTCTGTGGGGGAAACGTTGGGGGGGTGGGGGTGGGGGAGGGAGACACGGGATCCTCCTGCCGGCCGGACCGCCTTCTGCCATGCCACCATTCCACAAGGTCCTGCTCCACACGAGGACCACGGTGAAGACAGACCGGTGCAAGCCTCCGCCCCCCCCCACCCCCTCCCCAGCGGAGTTACCTGCTGCTGCTCCAGCTCCCGCGGGGCGACTCATCAAGGGTCGGGCAGATCTGAAGTATCCACTATGACTTTAATAAAAATGGTGTCATCTTTTATATACGTCCCGTTCTCCAGGACAGTCTGCGCCACAAAGACCGGGCAGCCCGACGCGATGTTCATCTCGCCCGTGGGTTTCTTGAAGCTGCTGCTGTTGGGGTCAGGCTTGAATGCGTCTCCCAGGTGGCGCCGCGAGGACCCCTGGTCCATCAGCATGAGTGTCACTTTCTGCTTGAAGGGCCAGGGGAGCAGGGCGTCGTATTCTCCGCGCATGATGACAAAGAACAGCGACAGGTGCGTCCCCTTGCCCATGCCGTCCCCGTTCAGGTAGACCCGGGCGCACATCTTGTAGCCGAAGTAGCCCGTGTAGAAGGGCTGGCTGTACAGCGACAGGGTCTTGCCCATGACAGCCTCCTGCTTCCGACGCTTGTAGTCTCGGATCTTCCAGATGAGCACGCCGTTGTAGCTGGCTGTCTCCAGGACCTGGAAGCGCAGGTCCATGTCGGCCAGCCGGATGTCGTGGACGCTCAGCATCTGGTCGTGCCGGCTCAGCTGGGACTCCAGCAGGCCTGTGGGCAGGGCGGGTATGTCATCGGGCCAGCTTGGGCCTGCAGGCTCGCTGTAGCCATGGTGGGTGGGTGGGGGGCAGGGTGACTGAGGGGCTCCTCCTGCCCCCAGACCCACCCACGGGAAGTTCCCCCTCCTGCCTCTCTGTGGGAGTGGGGTGAAGCTCACTCCCCGACGCCTGGGGCCTCCCGGGCAGTGTGCAGGAGAGCCTCGCCCAGCACAGGCCCTGCTGCCACGGCAGGAGCTGCACTCAGGGGCCAGTCTCCGCCCACAGCCCCCACCCCCACCCCGTGCCTCCTCGCAGCCCCGTGGTTTGCTCACCCGCGTTGCGCGCAGCCTGGCCTGCACTCTTGTCCACGCTCTCCAGCTCCGTGACGCGGTTCTGCAGAGACTCCACGCTGCTCTTCATGCTGTCCGCCTCCTCCCAGTTTTGCCGAAAGGGACGGATCTCTTTGTCCAGCTCTTTCAGCTTCTCCGCTTGGCTGTCGATGACTCGCTGCCCGAGAGCCAAAGGAGAGCGGAAGCACAGTCAGAACCCAGCCGGTGATGCTCTCGGCTGCCCCGAGCTGTCCCCGTCCAGGCGGAGCCCAGCACTGCCGCCTGCCCGCCCGCCTGGGCACTGCGACCCCAGGTGCTGCTAGATGTCCAGAGCCCACTACCTGTCCTCACACTCCTGTCAGCCCTCCTTGGTCTTTCCAGAGCTCACGGCCATCTGTCGTCCCCTGGGCATCTCGGGAGACCAGCGGGGGAGGTCTCCTCAAGGACCACCAGTCTAAGTGCACTGGCCTCCCAGGCCCGGCCCTCCCTGACCCACTGGGGGAGGAGAAGGAGCAAGTACTTCCTCCCGAGCCCCAGGCTGCCCGACCAGGAGGGAAGCCACCCATATGCCTGCTCCGAAGGGTTGCTGGCAGAGACTAGCCCGCTGGGGAGGGAGGAGACAGAGAGGCAGGGCCACCTTCAGTAACAGGGCGGACAAATTAACTCCCACTAGTGAGAGACGGGTGAAGGGGGCCCTGCCCAGCAGTGGGGGCTGGTGGGAGACCACAGGCTCCATGAGCTAACCCCTCCCCGCTTTGGACTCTTGTTTTTACCCCGGGAGCTTTTGCCACCTTGGCGGGCTGCTAACAGCAGAAAGCCCAGTGGTGTGGGTTCGTGGCTTCTCAGGTGAAGTGGGGGTGAGGCAGAAGAGCCTGCAGAGAGCTAGCGTCTAACTAGAGCCTTCTCTGGGCAGGGCTGTTTGCTGCCGCAGTGGGATTTTATTTTTAAATACAGACAGCCAGAGGCGGATTTAATTACTTCACAAAGTCTATTTTCTGGACGACAATGCTAGCAATATTAATGAAAGTACAGACCACAATGTGTCTTTAATGAACCCTGGTCCCCTGCGCACCCCCCCCACCCCCCTCACGGTATCTCTCACACGCTGAGCACAAACGCTGGAAATGGCGCTGAAACGGATGCTAACAGAGCTGCAAGTGACTGAGGGGAAGGCAATAAACGAGGGTCTGGTCCGTAGGCTTGTAGCTTAGTGGGTCAACCGCTGGACCAAAGTCTAAGGGCCACCTACAACAAGCCACGCAGGACCCGCACCCTCAGAGCTGTTCTTCCTTCAAGCCAAGGGGCCTGGGGCCCAATGTGTCCTCTGGGCAGCGGATGCTCTAAGGTCCAGCTGATCACATAGGCAGCTCCATGGTGACTGTGTTGTCTAAGTGAGGGTTCCTGGGCTGACAGGCTGTTTGCCCCACCCCACCCCCCTGAGCCAGCACACACCAGCCTGTCTCTGTGCAAGACACACACACACACACACACACACACACACAGATGGGGCCCAACCAAAGTGCTCAGAAGGTGTTTCCAGACAAGCCAGGGGAATGCACTGCTTTTATAGGGGCCCCTCTCTGCACACGGCAGCCTCTCTCCGAGCAGAGAGCAGGTGGCTATCGAGCGTTCTCTGCACGCACAGCACTCTCCTGCCTGAAGAGTGAGCTGCACTCAGCCTCTAAGTCTTTCTACCCAAACAAGACTCAGATGGATGTGTGGGTGACTGTGGGGTGCTCACTACACACATAAATCCAGTCACAAGGCCTTGCTTTCTGAAGCCCATCTGCTAGTCTCAGGCCCTGTGCCCTTCAAGGCTTACACTGGCACGCCCGGGGCCACCCCTGGAAGCCCTTATGCAAATCGGAGCTGTGCAGGTGGTGGCCGCCGCCCTCAGGGCCAGGGCTGTCTTCCCGTCTCAGCTCTGCACTGTGCAGACCCCTGGCTACAGGAATGGTCACACACATCCGTTCTTAATGGTTACAGGAGGGGAATCCAGCTACTACCTAGGCTTGTCTTTTTAATTAAGAAGTACAGGGTGGCTACAACAGAAAATATTAAAACTATTAAGAAATATTAAAACTATTAAGAAATATTAAAAATATTAAGAAGCAGCCACAGATACAAATGCACTCACACCTCCTTCAGAGGGTACCCCATCCTGCCCTGTCCCAGGCTGCCAGGCACCCTGTACCCCACATATGCTCCTCCCAGCCTCCAAGGCTCAGAGCCCGCTGCCGAGTCAGACAAGGGGTGAAGTGGCCTCAAGAGAGTGACCTGTGCTGGCTGGGGTGCCCTGAGGACAGTGGGGCCAGGCCAGCTTTTGTGGAGTCCTAGCATTTACATGGACCCCTGGACTCCAAGAGGTCCAGGCTGGCGAGGGGAGGAGACTGGAATAGGGGACTCCAAGTGGGCAAGCAAGGGGGCCGACTTGACTGTGGACCGCGTGACCGGGCACCTAAGGTTTCGTGGACGTGGTGCACTGCTCATGCTGAGTCTCCTGGGAGGCTGGGGGGAGGCAGCTGTGAGAGGGGCAAGTCCGACAAACAGTCTGCTATGGGGAGCACCCGGGGAGGAAGCCAAGCAGCACCTCCCACCCCCCAGGAGCGTGCCTCACAGCCAGGATCTCCCTCGTCCAGTCACGTGTGGCCGGCCCCACAGCAACATTCCAGATGAGCCTACAGCTCACCCTTCCTGAACCCCAAGTTGGAGGGGCTCCCTGCAAGCCCTATCCTCAACCATGGAACTACCTTGCTGAGACCCTCAGCCGGTCCTATGCCTGGGGAAACCCGGGGCCCAGCAGGGTCCATCTCTTTAAAGCAAGGCCTCTGTTCCTCCACAAGTCCAGGGGCACTGGCCCCGGCTGTCTCCACCAAGTCCTCACGTCTCAGCTCAAGAGACTCAGGTTCCCCCTTTCTTTATGACTTGTGTCTCTGGTTTATTCAGTCACCTAAGTTTGACAGTATAAACCGTACCTAATAGAGCGGGTGAGGAACTTTTCGGGTTGAACCGGGGAACCGGGAACAGAAAGGGGTGTAAAATCTTGGAGGGTCAGGCCAACAGGCCTCTGCCAGTGTCTTTGCTACCACTGGCCTCACTGTCTCACTGGGCCTCGGCATTCCCACCACCCCTCGGAGCCCAGGTCAAATCCAGCAGCTGGACTGCTCCATGCACTGCAGGTGAGGAGGCCACGCAGGCTGGACCGGGCCCTGGCCAGTGTGACCGACAGCCGGGCCAGGCCCCCCGCGCCACCGATGGGCTTGATTCAACACTAGTGACTTGCACCTTTTCTAACGCGATCTTCGCTGCACTCGGCTTTCTCCTTCTCTGGGTAACCACGGAGCGTGCCACCAAAGGCACTCTCCCAGAGCACCCTGCGATTCCAGGGGTTCAGACCATACCGACGTCAGAACAGGCGTGGGTGATGGCACAGTGTTCACCTAACAAGGAAGACTCCCCTCCCGGTAACTCAGGGACCCCAACGACGACAGAGTACCTCCTGCACTGAGACTGTTCCCTCGGCACCAGGGACTCCTGCAGCCATGCATGCAGAATGCCCACAAGAAACCTCACAGGTAGACTCCTGGTGTGCGCACCCGGAAGTCCCCCAGCTACAGGAACGCGAGGGTGTGACGGGGCCTGTTCTGACGGATGAAATGAGCTGCGGCATGTGTACCAGGTCTGCTCAGCGGTCATTTCTTACAGGCACAGGGCACGTGTGTGCTTTCTCGGAGGTGCGTTTGCATGGGAGGAAGACAGAGACGGGCTTTCTGCTCCTGCAGTCACACCGGGGCTGCTCTGGCCTTGTTCCGCAGGGCTGCTAGGAGTCAGAACAGAATCCAGAGGCAGGGCTGGTTTGGGGTGTGCGATCGCCAGGGAGCCCCGGCAGTATGCGGGACTGCTAACGGTAAGGGCAGCAGCTCAGGAGAGAGCCGAGGCTGTCAGCTGCCATAAACATCGACAACCGTTGCTATGATCGTGGCTGATGGCAGTGGGCGGGGTGGGTCAGACGGCTTTGGTGAAGTAAAGTAACAGTAATGCATTGTATTAGATGCACATTCTCTTTTCGCTAAAAGCACGACCCCTCTGTGTTGTTACAAGCACACACTGTTCATTTGGTTTTTTTACAACTGCATGTTTGAAAAAGAAAAAACAGCTGGCAAGCTTGTGAGAGTATCTCGGGAGAGCACAGTGATAGAAGGTGTGCGATACACGTGTTATCTGCATGATGGTGTATGCCTGTCACACGGGTGTCATCGGTGATGCCATGTATGTAACGTGTGTCACCTGTGTGGTGGCATGCATGTCACATGCATGTTATCTGCGTGGTGGCATGTGCATTATACTGGTGTTATCTGCATAATGGCACGCGTACCAACTGAAAACTTGGAAGGAACCATCTGTCTGCCTATCCCGAGGAGTGCAGCTGGACACAGCACCACCCCCCACGGGCACACGGAACCCCCCAGCAGTCACGAATGCGACCACATCTCCGAAACTCAGTTTCACATCTTCTCCCAGCGACAGAGGGCCCTCGGCCTGGAGGGGCTGGGGGAGGGGGGGAGGTGTGGTCCCCACCCAGCCCACCTCTTTGTGCACCCACTCAAAGAGCCTCTCTCCTCCATGGCCAAAGCAAAGAAGCAGAGCTGCCTCTGGACTTAGGGGAGTGGGAGCATCAGCTCCTCCCCCTGGGCCCTGCCGGGGCATCTTACCTGCAAGTGAAGGATTTTGGATTCGTTATTTCGCAGCATTTCCTTTTGCCGCTCGATCTCGATCTCAAAGCTGCAGATCTGGTTGTGCAGACTTTGAATGCTCTTGTTTTTCTCCACGCTCTCATTCTGCAGCAAGGACACCTGGGAAAGAACGGTCCATTATGCTGGGAAGGCAGGATGCTGGTTCATCAGCCCAGTTACAATGTTACAATGGCCAGGCCGACGGTCCACAGCAAAGGCCGCTACGCATTCACAGAAGGAGCAGTTGCTGGAGAAATGATGAGTGCCCCAGGAATGCTGCAGGGACCCCCTTGACCTGCTTCTCAGACCCTCTCCCAGGACTCAAGGGGCAGCAGGCCCGGTAGCTAAGGGATCTTCAGGGTGGAGGGAGGGAAAGGGCGTCTTTAAGTTCTACTGGCAACAACGCAAATGCTCTAAGGGCTGCTTCCAAACCTACCAGGAAATGGACTAAGTAGCGTCTCACACCTGTCCACAAATAAATGTGTGCATACACACCTGACCAAGGGATAGCACAAACCACCCCTGCATGGACGCACCCCAGCAGGCTCCAGTTTAGTCTGTGAGTCACAATCCGCTCAAGCACCTATCTCCTGCTCCCTCCGAAAAAGGCCGGGCACATGGCACAGCAAGACACCTAGTGAGGAGAAGCAGCAGCCCAGGTGGCAGCTCATGCTCAGGTGCCGGCGACCAAATCCCTCAAGTGTCTGTAACACCCTGAACGCCCACACTACACCCTTCACCTGAAACGCTCACCTCAGGCCCCCACCTGTTGCACCTGCGCCATGGCATTCACCTGTGACGCCCAAGACACAGATTCACAGGTGACACTCGCGCCAACCGAAAGGAAGAGCCTGCTGAGTGGTGCTTTCAAGTCCACAGTCCACACGGCCTGGGAGACCTCAGGGCTGCAGGTGCTGTGACCCGGGCATCTTGGGACAGGCTACTGTGAAAAAGAACTGATTCCAGATGTTTCCCAGAGACGGGCCGTTTCCCTGCCTGACTCTTGTTCCTAAGCAGACAGCACCCTGGCTGCTCACGCCTGGGGCTTTCAAACAAGTAGGGTTCAAAGGAAGATGGATTTCCCAGGTCTCGTGGGTAAAGATGACTCACTTTTCTAGGGCTTCATTCAGCAAAGAAAGAGCTTGAGACCTAACACCCCATGCTTCAGAGGTCCACCTGCTCTCTGCAGAAAGAGTGTGGGTGTGTCAGAGAGGCACAGGATTCTCAGACTGGATGCTCACACAGGTACCACACCTGCCCACTCTTCTGACCAACACCTCCCTGGTGTCAACAAAAACAGTGGCCATTTTTTCGGGCAACAAATCAAGTCCTGAGAATTCGCAGAGTGCTTCCCGTAACTGTGAACACAGAGCAGGCCAGCTGTGGGAAACCCCACAGCGTCTCCTCTTCAGGGACAGTTTTCACAAGGGAACACTGCTCCTGGCTGTGCAAGGTGGGCCCGCCTGTGAGACAGACGTCTCATGAGCAGGAAGCTGACAGGCAGATGTGACTTGGGCTAGCAGTGTCACCATTACACTGGGTCCAGCTCCCAAGAGCCTCCTCACCGGAACCATTCTCACTCAGGCCTCCAGGTGCAGACACGTTGCGTTTCCCTTTGACTTAGGAGTCCCCAGAACACACGGGCAGTTCCTGTCATGATTTCACAACACTGCAGCATCCTTTGGTATAGCCACGAATGCTACACTCCTTCTCGCTGAGCCAAGTCCTCGTTCTGTTCCCATCCCAGAGGAGCAAAGCAACACAGGGCCTAGGGCAACACTTCTCTGATCTCCACCCGAGGGCACGAAGGATCGCCCTTCTGGCCCAGTTCCCCAGGAGACCAGCTGGAGGACCAACAATTCTCATCAACACAAACCAGCACACACCGAGCCAACATGGGGGGCCATGCACCGAGGGGCGCCCCCAGAGAGAGGAACCCTTGAGCAATACCCTAGAGGGCCCATATTTCCAGTATTTCCAAGGCGCCGTGTCTACACACTCCGGCCATTTCCACCGAGCGTGGGGCAGCGAGAGGTTAGATACAGGTGGGCTTCGCGGAGGAGAAGCGGTGTGGACGTGTGCAAGGCCGCCTACCCTTGGGCGCCGTGGGTCCCGCTGGGGTGTGCACTGAGGCCGGTCACTCACCCTGGGTGTTGCAGGTGCTCAGGAGATGAACGAACACCCCTCAGGAGACCGGCCAGACGAGACGCTCGGCCCATGGCCGAGCCCTGGAGGACCATCTCCCACTGTGTACTCCTGGCTGGACCGCAACCTGCCAGCCAGCAGGTGCCCAAGGAAGGCAGGTTGGCTGTTTCATGAGCAGCCCGGCACCCAGGGAGACAGAAGGCCCCGAGGCCTCGGCCTGGGAGCTTCCAAAGGCAAAGCCATGATTACCTCCAAAGAGGTAATGGGGGTGGGGTGGGGGTGGGTACTGGTCAAGTGTCAGTGAGCAAGTTGAGCTCATCTTGAGAGTCCTTCTCCTTGATTCACCTGACACAGGGTCTATTTTACTGTCCAAAAAAGTCTTCTTTTGTCTGCATGACAAGCATGCCAACCTTTCAAATTCCTTCTCCACCTAAGCTTAAGCATTGATAGAAAGCAACTCTTTCACGGCAGATTCGATGAAAAACTACCAATGAAATACTCTGTGTTCAACACCTACTAGGCCTGCCTCTCTCAGGTGGACTGCAGTTTGGAATAGCCGGGGCTGACTATCCAAGTAAGACCTTCCAACTCTTTCCAGATCTTCAGGAAACACAGGCGAGCCCTCCCACCAGAGGGCTCTGCCCCGCCAGCTCGGGGTCCCCACTGCCACAAGTTCCTGCTGCGTCCTTGTTCGCCAGTGAACCGTCTTTACTTCTGAATGAGCCACAGAGGGGCAGCGACACAACTGCTCCTCCCAGCAGGTCCCCACGGCACCAACACCTTGCTCAGGGGAAGCAGGGCCCATGGAGCTGGGCTGCTGAGCAAGCTCACGGAGAGACCTATTGCAGAAGGGAGGTGACGAGCTCTGGGGAGCAAGCCGTGAAGAAAGGCTGGCTGGGGGTCCTGCTCTGAGAGCCTGGGAGGAGACAGTAACAGCTAGGGACCAGGATGCGTGTCCTCTGTCTCTTAAGGCAGACAAGGAACCAGCTTCCTTCTAGCCAGGAGCCTAGCAAACCCGTGTCCGAGAGTCAACGTTAGGGTCAGGGAGGGCTGTGCCGTCTGTGATAGCTCAATTCTGCTGCTGCTGCTACCACTGCCGCCAACTCACAGTCGTGTCAATGCAGCCCAGAGCAAGTGTGTGCACCACATACAGACATGGGGCGGGCATTGGTGGCAGGGTATGTATGTGTGCTTGAGTGTGTACACATGCTCAGACACAGACATGGGATGGGCAGTGGCATGTATGTGTGAGTGAGTTGAGCACACGTTAGTGTCATCACAGAAACAGATGGGGTGGGTGGTGGTGTGGGTGCATGAGTGTGTGTCTGTGTGCACGTGTGTGCTAGTGGGACTGCTCACAGAAAAGCAATTGTATTCTAGGCCAGCACAAACATGACCACACCAGGGTTGGTGTTTTTAGGTCTATATACTTACTTGGCAAGTCACACAAAAAGAATAAAAACACACAAACGACAAAGCAGAAAGAAAAAGACAAAGAACATTTATAAGCTCGGGATCATACAAGGAGAATGTGTTTTCTGACAGCCTTCTGATGCATTTCTTTTATCTATAAACCATTATTAACTATAGAAAAGCTTTTCTTTAAATAATTTGAATTCATTGTTACAGTTACGTCTACATAATTTGGGGATTATGATCTAAGTATACATACATGTATATTGAAACTCATTACACAGATACACATAGGCACACACACACAGAAAAGTCATGTTAACAAGTGTGTGTGTGTGTGTGTGTGTGTGTGTGTGTGTACACTTCTCTCTCCAATCCCGATCTATCTATATAAAAGTTGGGATTATGACCTAAATAGAAACACACAGAGAGAGGAAAGTGGACAGTTGGGGTCCATCTGAGGAGGCCTTGGAAGACAGGTCTGGTGGTCTGCTTGTGTCACACTGGCCACGGAAAACCCTGAGGAGGACAGAGGCGGTGTCTCGACACTGCCCCGTCACCATGACATGACGCTTGGGGCCACGGCAACTGGCGGTGTTTGTGTGTGGTGTGGTGGTGTGGTGTGTGTGGTAGGGTGTGTCGGGTGTGGCAGGGTATGTGTATATGTGTGTGGTGTGTGTGTGTATGTGTGGGTAGGTGTGTAGGCGGGCATGCATACATGTATCGTAAGAAGTCCCACCTTCTTCTCCAGGGAATTACTCCACTCCTTCAGTAAGTTCACGTGCTGCACCGCGGAGCTGGCCTCGTGCACTTTGATCTGCTGGTTTGTTCCCTGTGAGGACAAAGAGGCAAAGTATGAAGCCAACGCCCTCCCAGCCCCCTTAGAGAAAAGCACCGACAGACTAATGATGGCGCTGGTGCCTGCTCTGCCCCAGGAGCCGCTACCTCCTGTCCCCCCATCAGCGCGTGCTGGTCGGGAGCACGAAGGCCGAAGCGCCCCGCTGCTGTCAGCTCAGCCCTCGCAGCCCATTAAGAGCCCACTCGAGGGAGATCATCCGCTGCAGCTCAGATGCCCATCGTGCCTGCACTTCCCTGCGAGTCCTGCTCTTGACCCTTGGTGGAAAACATTTAGCTATCTGCAGTTACCCAGGAGGGGCGGTGAAAGGAGGGGTCAAGGCAATTTACTAAGACTACTAACGTGCTGGCTCAAACAGGCTCCCCCACTCCCCACTCGGGCGTGCCCGGGAAGTTACATACAAAACACAGAAAATCTACAGAGTACATAAGATGCAGATCAACTGGGGCGTCGGCGGTGACCACTCGACAGACACCGTGCTCCGTTGGCTTAAGGAGATGACTGGTACGCAAGGAGAATTGTTGGGTCACCGGAAGTGGAAAAGCCACGGGAAATTGTCTCCATGATCTCCAAAACATATACTCTGTACATAGACTCTTCAGAGGCATATATGTTGATATAGTGTTGCCGTATATAAACATATATACACACGTACACAGAGGATGGATGGCATTACGTCAGACGGCCACGTGGCGAACCCCAGTCTCGCTACACGCCGAAGCGGAGGGAAAAGTGCTTTCGTGTGGGGACCTCTGGCTTGCTAAGTAAACACTAAGAGGCCACCAGCTTTCAGCTGGTCTCGTAATCAATGCACTGATGGCCCCGAAGCTTAGGTCTGCAAGGTGTAGTATTCACACCCTCTGCCGCTCCAAGGACAGTACGTATTATAATGAAAGCTCAGGTCTCAGATGTGCTGGGGGTAAGACATAAAAAGCACAAGCAACCATCGAGAGAGACAGGTGTCTCAACCTAGGTGTGGCAGGAACCGGATGTCCCCTCACCCCTCCCGGGCGCGAGCCTCCAGTCAGTGCCTGCCAGCACAGGTGTGTCCATGGAGTGCACCCCCACTCCCCAGGGGAGCTGGGTGAGTGTGTTGGCATCGGCGGTGCTGACTTCTATTCAAATAACCTCTGTGCTTCAAAGCGGTTGTTTGCCTAGAAGCCCATTGCTGCCATTGCTCGTGTTCTCTGGAGCTCTGCTGGGGCTGGCAGGTGGACATGCCCCTAAGCAGAGGGGTCCACTGGCCACCTCGGAGCCATGACCACCATGCTCACCTAGTGGGTGAGGCTAGAAGCAGCCCAGCACTTGCACATGAGACTGGTCATAGACCCGCTTTCCCTCATTGTGGAATGCCAATGACCGGAAGGATGTCGGATACTGACCTGAAAAACGCAGCCATAACGCTTAAAACTACAGGTGCTGGGGGCATTGACACACTCTGACAAGTGTGCACTCAACTGTAACGGGAAAGAGACGTGAGTTGTGGCACGAACGCTGGCACAAACATGTTCAAACATAGTCAGGGCGCAGGCCGCATCTACAGGTGTGCAGACATGACCTGGAGCCCAGACACAGAGGTAGTCAAGCCTGTCTCACCATCCGGGTACACACACATACACACCGCATACATTTACTTCAAATTGGCTACTTCTTTACAGCAGAACTGTTCAAAATGTGACATGCAGCTACAGGGCCAGAATTTCAGAAAGGACACAAAAGAAATAAACGCCAACTGAAAAGCACATTTAGAGACTATAAACAAAAACTGCATGAAACACAAAAATTGTCAGCATTCAGGATGCAACTGGGTCACACACCTCATCAACAGTACACCAAAGAAATAGAGTGCACGAGCGAGCTTGCACCCTGTCCCACTGTTCCCAGCCCCGCTCCCGGCTGGGTCTTCCTTCGGACAACATCATCCCCTCTGCTGGTGGCAGACTCATCTAGACTTCCGAGAGCAGGTCTACTCTGTCCTGTAGAGTCACCGGAGTCAGAATGGACGAGGCGCAGTGGCGTGGGCTTGAAGAAAGGCCCTGGATCTCAGGGTGACACCTCTAGCTGATGGGTTTAGAGATGGGGAGGAACGGGGAGCAGCAAGCATGTCCTTTGAGGAAGCCCCTCGTTCGGGAGAAACGGGCCTAGGGCGGTTCTACAATAGACATTGTTTAAGCGCTCACGAGCTGCCACGGAGTCAATGCTTACTCTCAGCGAGCCTACACGGCAGCAGAACTGCCCCTGTGGGGTTTCCCGGGCCATACATCTTTCAGGGAGCAGAAAGCCCTCTCTCGCTCCTTCCAAGTGGCTGGTGGGCTCCAACTGCTGACCCCACAGCTGGCGGTCCAGCTTATTATCCGCTATACCATCAGCTCGCACAAGGAGGACACAAGTTAAGGGGAGTCCTCTCTCCTAGTGAAGACACGCTTATCAGAGTCCTCCAGGGAGGCCCGCTTGCTGAGAGCCACTGCTACCCAAAGGCCCTGGCGGGTGTCCGTGGTCTGCGGCTTGTGGCTTTGGGGGGAGCAGCACCAGACCTGCCTCTCACCCTGTTTCTACAACTAAGAGGGTGGGAGGGCGGCCACCCTCATCTGTCCATGGCTGAAGACAGCCTTCTGGGAAGGTCTCTAAGCCGGGCAGAGCTGGGCAGTTGAGGGTCTGGTAGCCTTGGGAGCTGCAGGTAACTTGTGGGGATCAGGGTGGCCGCAGGTCCTGCTCAGGAGACTGTGTGTCTGGCGGGAGGGGGGGGGGTGCAGAAGCAGGATGGGGAAGTGGTAGACCTATGCTGTCAGTGCCAACAATGTAGCCAGGGCTCTGCCAGCTGGCAGCTCTCATGCTGGCGCCGGTGGTGGACTGAGTTTGTCAACTGCTGTCTCAGGGCACTTCTTCCTCTGTGGGTTTCTCTGTGTCATCCCCTTCGGGACCCCTGGGGTACACAGGCACTTCTGGAGAGAGGCAGGGCTAACAGTAGCCCCACAGTCCCTTCCTCCAGAAATCTCGAGAGGCGTGGACTTGGGATTCTTGTTTAATAATTGTCACAAGGCAAGCCAACAGAGGCAGGTTTTGTCCCCACCCCTCCCACCCCAGATTCCCCCAACCCTGAGCAGGTGAAGCTCTGGCCAGAGTCTACAACGATGAAACTGATTCCAAAGCTCACTCTCTTCAGGCAGGAACTGACAGGGGCACGTTCCATGGCTGTGCATCAGCGTCTGAGAGGACGGGGCTGGGCACTGCCGGGACAGGGGACCTGCCTGCAGCACCCAGCGGGGCCAGCCTCTGGAAGGCTTCCCACTGGTGCCCGGGCCCTTTATCACACCGGCCATCTCATTCAGCTGGGGACAGGTGCCTGCTCAAGGCCCAAAGGTCCTCATCACCTAGGCAGGACTTTAGGTCTCTCAGGAAAGATGGGAGTCCCTCAGACCAGAGCACCCGGGACGGAGTGACCACCTGGAGACCAGGTGGTTCCTGTCACAGCAACCACTAGGGCCGCCTGCATGTCACGCCATCAGGACTGGGGCAGGGAGAAGCCATGGTGTCGGTGCATCCCACCAGCGTGCCCCTGGCCAGGTGATTCACTACAAAACCTACAGGACTCAGGAGCGTGCGAGGGAGATGAGGCGCTGGCCGGGGTGGACCCCCGGCCAGGTCTCCTTGATCTGGCAAGCCCTGATTGACCTGCGGTGACTCCCAGTTAACTTCTCTTGAATAGTCTGGTAATAATCCCAAATTTTATGGGTTTAAACAGCTTGGATTTTTTTTTTTAACTGTAAAAAAGAGTCACCTTTGCTTGCACTGTGGATAATGCATCCTGTTGTTATTCTTGGACATTTTTTTTTTAACACTCCATTACCTGCTCCTGACATTTCTGATTCTCAGCAAGTAGTAGGGGTCCGCCTTTCTTGCCCCTGCTCTACTCAGGGCTGGCGAGACCAGTCACAGACAGGACAGGCCTCGGGGTCGTGGAGGGCCCTCGAGCATGCTGGTCCAAAGCCTCACGGCCCAGTGCTTGCCGTTCTTACCTCACTCCTCAGAAGCGTCTGGACGCTGCACTTGTGTGGGCAGGAGACCACCACGCAGGGACATTCTGTGTCCTCATGTTTCTGCAGAAGAGGGGGTGGGGTTAATATGCAACACACCTGGAGCTCCTGCGTGTGCTGGGGACCCAGCGTTCCTCATGCTACAGCCACTAAACCACAACCAGCAAGTGTGCCTTCCGACCCCTGCTTTTAAAGCAGCAGCATCCCATGACATGTCCACGGGTGCCGAGGGCCTCATTTGGCTGGGATTGCTTTTAGCTTGAGTAAGATGGAACTCAGTCTCAGGCCTCCTGTGACCTTTCAGAGGTCGGGGTGTTGGATATGGCTACAGCCCCGGTTCCTTGGCAGTGAAGTCATGTCACTGCTGCATCAGATCCCTGGGTGGCTGTTACCCACCACAGCTCCCGTTACCCGCCAGCAGTGGACAGTGGGTGTCCTCCACACGGCTGTCTGGTCACACCTGAGCCCGTTCCATGCCAAGGACCAGGGCCTCTGGATGTCTGTTCCACCAGCCCATCCTGTGTGCCCCAGCAGAACCAGAGACGTTCTCCTCCACTCGGACTTCCCAAAGCAGCGCATCTCGTCAAAGACACTGACGTTCAATCAGTCATTTCTAGATTTGATTCTAAATAAGGATTTTTTGGGGTGACCTTTTAAATCATGTTGATCTATATATTCAAAGAACCCACTTGAGGGAGGGGGGGAAGCCACAGGACTTGGGAACAGCTGACGTAATGATGGGATGGATTCCAGGTGAGCCACAGCTGTCCAGGGCCACTGTCCCGTTTATCTGACACACCACAAAACACAGACTGTGCAGGGGACCACCTTGCCCTGGGGTCTCACACCTGCCCACGTGACGCTGAGCAGTGAGTCAGATCTGTGAGAACATTTGACTGAGAAATCCAATCACCTCACTGAAGGGAGGGAGAGGGAGGGGCAGCCAGGGACAATCGAACTGTCCTCCGCATATGCTCGGTCAGAGTCTGCGCGGGCTCGTGAACGCTGCTGATGACAGTACAGTAAGCAGGAGCAGTACGCAGCTGAGGATGGGCACCAGATGTCCATCAGAGTCGTCTGAAAACATACACTTTGAACATGTTGTCTGTCAGGAGAGACCAGTCCCTGGAGAACGCCATCATGCTTGGTAAAGGGAGGGGCAGCGAAAAAGAGGAAGGCCCTCCGAGATGGGCTGGCAAGGTGGCTGCACCAATGGGCTGTGAGGGTGGCTCAGGACTAGGTAGCATTTCCGTTGTGCAGAGAGTCACGAAGAGTCAGAATCAACATGAATGTACGTAACAACAGGGTATTTATTAACAAGGAGCGGCATAGTAGGTTACACGTTGGGCTGCTAACTACAAGGCCAGCAGTTCAAACCCACCAACTGCTTTGTAGGAGCATAATGAGGCTTTCTGTTCTGTAAAGAGTCTCAGAATCCCCCATGGGCCATTCTACTCCGTCCTAAAGGGTCACTATGAGTTGGAATCAGCTCAAAGGCAGGGGGCTGAGTTGAGAGCATTATTACTGCTGTATCCAGTCAGACCCCCAACCCCATTTCCTCCGTACCCTCTCTCCCCCATCACTAGCTGACAAATTGGAGACTCAGATCAAAGAAAAGACTCCTTCCCACGAATGCCTTCCCCATACTTGTCATGTGACGGGATGGTCCCCTAGTAGACCCTTCCCTCCCGTGGCAGCCTCTGCACTGGCCACCCAATAGGCACCTTCTGGTTGGCTTCTAAGCCTCCCTCCTCTGGCTGTGCATGGCAGGGCAGGCCACGGGCTACCCTCTGGCACATCCCTGCACAGACCTGGGCACCCCTGGTTCCAGGCAGCTGGAAGGTGCACATAGGGCTGGGCAGGAATTTTAAAGCCAGACTCTCCCCAGCCTTGTCCCATGCTCTGAAACAGTCACCGCTCTGGCCGCTAATTGCCTTGCTCTGCAATTCCTTCTCAAGTGAAAATTAATTCTTTGATTCAATTCTGCAATTTGAGGTAATTGATTTTCACAGGAAGCCAAATAAAACTTTGATAGCAATATGCTAATAATGTTAAGGTCTGGGATATTGTTCACCTGAACCTCATTACCAAAGGAATTGTTTAATGATGGCTAAGAAACCCCAAACCAAGCCCGCTGCCGCACGGATGATTCCAGCCCACAGGATGGGCAGAGGGGAGCTGTCCTGCTGGATTCCCAAGGCTGCACATCTTTGCGGAAGCGTCTGCCCTGCTTCCTGAGGCAGAGCAGCTGGTGGATTGGAACCACTGACCACTCACTGCACCCCTGGGCACTCTGTCATCCCCACCCAGCCCACACCTCAGCCCCTCCACTCACTCTTTTACCTGTTAATACCCACCTGCAGCCTGGCCGCTGTCTGATCTCAACCTGCCACCTTACATGAGCCGTCCTGGTGCGGCAGCCTGACACGCAGTAGCCCTAGTGATAGTGCTGGGTGCTGCAGGGGCAGGGGATTTCTTAACGTGGCTCTTCTAGCCAGTCTCTAACTCCCACCAAACCACCTTCCCCTGCATGGGTCTGTAAGGTGGGGGAAGATACTGGTAGGATTTACCTGTGAATAACTGTGACCAGGATTTCCTGGAGTGCCATCCTGCTGTGTATAAAATGAGCCCTCTGAGAAGTAGAGGTGGGGGGTAGGGAACCTCATCAGAAGCAAGAGCCAAGAGTGAGCATGTCCTCTGGCCCCGAGATGTGTGTGCAGTGAGCCTCCTGGATCCAGATGACAGCTACACTACCTGAGGAGCAGCAGCAAACCGGGAGCCAGAGCATGGAACAGAGTGATGGCCTGCCTGATCCTCGGAGCACGTTGAGTGCTCTGGGGCTGGAGACCGGCTTGTGGTGTGAGGTGCTTCTGGACACTTAATTGGGAAAGTTGGACTTTCTGACCCTCGGAAGTGGAGCTGAATGGCCCAGAACTAAAGCTCACTTCTGGGCATTTAGTTCGGGGAACTGGGTTTGCATGAGCTGAATGTCTTTGGGTCAAAGCTTACAGCACAGTGGTATGCCCATTTGGACAATGATTAGTAGGCCTGAAACTTTGTAATCAGTCCTGGTAAACAACTGGCAAGACAACCTGTTAACTTCATAATAAACCCCTTAATTATGAATTTTGTCTGTGAGCTGTGTAGCCAATGCAATGGAAATCAGAACTGGAGATCAAACAGAATTATTAGTTCAGATGACCCAGTGCTGTCCTTAGTTCCTTTTTCTCCTGTTCCACACACATGACGTCAGCTGATTTGACTGGCTCTATTGTTACCACAGACCCCAGGAACCACCTCACCCCAGCACCAGGCCTCTATCCCCGCCCCTGGTCTACCTAGCACACCTCCATGCAGCATGCCCTCCCCCACTCCAGGCTCAGATGCAAGGCACCTGGCCTCACTGCAGAGACTCACTGGCTGCTCCTGAAGCTGCACAAGCCTTGTCCCCTGTGCATGCCCAGCCCTGACACAAGATCCTTGCTCTTCATAGCACTTACTGTCATCTGACATTAGGTATTTGCTGGTAATGTCATCTGCAATTGTTTATGACTTAGAGTTGAGTGGTTTGTTTTTCTTAAAATCCACCCAGGCCTTTAGCAGCACAGAATGCTTCACTTTGGCATGTCACTGGGAGACCAGTTTCTGGAGAAGGATGTCATGTTTAATAAGAAGACCCTCGACGAGATGGACTCGCAACAAACTCAGGAACAATGTTCTCGAGACCAACGGTTCTGGGGGACGTGGGAGAGGAGGAGGTGGGGGAGAAGGCGGGGAGCCAGTAAAGCCGGGGAGAAGAGATCTAAAATTGATGGTGAGAAGGGCACAGAATGCCCGGTGGGGTTTGATCAAGTGCAATGTAGCTGAGCGGAATGACTGAGAGTCAAATGAAGGTCGAATATGATAGTGGGACAGGAGGAAAGTAAAAGGAAATAGAGGAAAGCACTAGGAGGCAAAAGACATTCACAGAGGTCTAACTATAGGCATACACATATACCTATTAATATATAACAATAGGGATACAGGTCTATGCATATATTTGTATGTTAAGTATTAAGGTATCAGAAAGACATTGGGCCTCTACTTAAGTACTCCTTCAACACACGAACACTTTGTTCTAATAACCTGGCATTCCATGATGCTCACCTTCCCGACACAATTGCCAAAGACAAAAATGGGTGCAGAAGCACCAGTGATGAAGAAAGCTGACGGTGCCCGGCTATTACAAGATATGGCATCTGGGGTCTTAAAGGCTTGAAGTTAAACAAGCAGCCATCTAGCATGGAAGCAACAAAGCCCACATGGAAAAACCACACCAACCCATGTGATCACAAGGTGTCAACGGGATCAAGTATCAGGCATCAGAAGACCCAAAACAAACCATTTTGATGCAAACTACGCAAGTCAGAATGGAGACCCAAAGCCCATGTGTAGACAATTGGACATCCCTCACAGAAGGGTCACAGGGAAGAGAGGAGCCAGCCGGGGTGCAGTATAGCACCTATGAAACATACAACATTCCTCTAGTTCTTTAATGCTTCCTCCCTCCCTCCCTACTATCACGACCCCAATTCTACCTTACAAATCTGTACACTGGTACAGATGAGATCTTGATACACAGAATCCAGGACTGATATTGAGAGTAGTGATACCAGGGAAAGGTTGGGGGAGAAGGGGGAGAAAGGGGAACCGATCCCAATGATTGACTTACAACACCCACCCCAGAGGGATGAAAAACAGAAATGTGGCTGAAGAGAGGCAGTGGAAAATATGAAAATATAATTTATAAATTATCAAAGGCTCATAAGGGTAGGAGGGTACGGGATGGAGGGGAAAAAAGAGGAGCTGATACCAAGGGCTCAAGTAGAAAGAGTTTTGGAAATGATGATGGCAACAAATGTGTTTGAGACAAATGATGTATGGATTGTTCTCAAGAGCTGTAAGAGCCCCCAATAAAGTGATTTATAAAAAGAACAATGTTCTCAGGCAAAGAAAGAAGAATGCTTGTGGCCCAAGGTCTGTGGGCAGGGTCTGGTGAATCCCCTCCAACCTCAGACAGGGGATGTAAATCACCTCGGCAGCAGGAAGTGCACTGGAAAGTGACTTAGTGGGGATGTTTAACACTCCAAGAGATGTAGTTAAAATGTAACACCTTATCATTTGTAGTTTTTATTACTGTCTGCTTTCTTTTCTACTGAGTTTTTTCTGTTATTGGTTTCTGTAGGTTTTCTTGTTTGTTATTTTCTTGGGAGGGGGGCATGTCTTTCTTTATATGAAATCCAGGATAACTAAATCTATGGAGACAGTAACTGGATTAATCATTTCTTAGTGTTGTGGCAGGAGAAGCCAGGGGGAAATAATGGGAAGAATAATGAGGACGAGAATAAAGAACATGTTCTCAAGTTGATTGTGAGGATTGCACACATCTTTTTAACATGTCTAAGCTGTGAAGCTATATGATACGTGATTGATATGCCCATAAAACTGTTAAATGTACACAGCGTGCTCGTGAGGATGGTGCAGGAATGGGTGGGGCTGCATGCTGTTGGACGCACGGTGCTCTGAGTGCAGCTGCCGTGATCGCACCTACAGTAACGCCAGATGCTAATGGGCTCTCCCTACTGGCAGCTGAAGCCCAGGTCCTAGAACCCAACCTGCCCCACAGTAGACCCTCCAAAGGGTCTGATATGGAGGGCTGCAGTGCCAGGCCAGGGCAGCATCTGGTTGTCAATGTGGGTCCCTCGCGCCCCAGCACCGCCTCTCCTGCTTTTCTGTTTGCATGGGAGTGACCCTATGCTCACGTGGGCATGTGGTACAAGAATCACCAGGCTTTGGAAAATACTTCACATTCGCCCCTCTGCCCTTCATGCGGGCAGGCTGCCTGTCCCGAGGGAGCCAAGGCTGGTTGAGGAGCTGTTGGGTGAAGCCAGCAAGCCAATATCCCAGGACGAGGGGAGACACTACGCCTTTCCAGTGAATAGTCTTTGGTGCTCTGACAGCCTCAAATGACTGAGGCACCGGAAATGTTAACACCATATACCAGGGGACACCAGACACATCATGCTCAACTCGGAAATGGCGTCAGGGCCAAATTGCTTTTGACTCCCATCCTGTGTCTCTGTTTCGGTGAGCACGGTCACTCAGGGAGCCATTCTGTGGAGAAGGCAGCTGAGTGGGGCAGGGAGCGGGCGAGTGGTAAACAGCGCACCTGCAAGGTGATCATGGGAACCAGGCTCTTGCAGTGGCTGCACGTGGCCTCTCGGTATTTGCAGGCCTTTTCCACGTGGTCCCGGAGGTCCTTCCTCAACACCTTTTCTTTGCAGTCAGCCCGCATACATGGGAGTTCTTCAAACTGGCAATCGTTTTTCAAATGCACCTGTAAGACAGGCGATGCTAACTCCTGAAATACCACAGCTGAAATACCACATCCCAACCACGGAACAATTAAGTCTGACGGAAGCATTTCTAATCGGCCACTGTACATGTATTGTTTTCCCACAGCAGAGGGACAAATGTCTCAAGAGGCAGTCTCCTATACTATTTAGTGAATTAGAAGTTTTGTTCAAATTCTCTTGCTTTTGAAACAGCCTGTCAACTATTCCTCCTGGGTAGAAAGGTAGATAGGTGTCTGCTATGGGCCTAGTGTTATTCCAACTCAAATATCCTTCCCAGGTATTAATAAAAAAGCAGATTTCTTCCTCTTCTCAGCAGGACGGGCATTCAAACCTGGTGGCAGGTCAGTCAATGAGGTCTGTGGGGTGAGGAGCCCCTCTATGTGGTCTTCTGCCGCCAATCTTTGGAAAGACAGTTGGGGAGAGCTTCCTCTCTATACCCTGAGGAGTCAGCTTTGCCCTATTCTTTGAAGAAGCCACTTGGGGAGGGGGGCCCCAAGGTGGGTTCTCCCCCAGAGTTTGTCACAGGGAATTTCCCAGGTGGGGTGACCTTTCCTAGGAAGCTGTAAACAACTTGGCAGTCTGCTACTTTTTGTCTGGCCCGTAGCTGCCCTGTGATTGATCGCTTTTTGTGTACCTTGCAGGGATAGGTCAATTTGTTTTGCAAATAGTGGCTTCACAATACCAATTGGATTGACAGGATTGCAGTCCACTGAGGGGATTGGTCAGTCTGTGGTCCTGGTAAGAGGGCCATACCTAGCAATGGAATAGAGTTTCCTTATACAAGTGACCAGCCCCACGGCTTGCAGGGAAAGAGAAACAGCAGAGAAAGACCTTGAGGAACCTCCAAGAAGAGCTCTGGTGTGGATTCTGGGCTGTGACACTGAGAGGGGAGAGGGCCAGCAGGGGCCCTGCAGCAGGGCAAGTTGCTACCCAGGCTACCTGCTGCGTGGACAGCATGGAGGCGTGTACAGTAAGGTGACCAGATTTTAACATTGGTCAAGCGGGACACCATTGATAAAACTCATATCCTGGCGAAATAGCCACATGGAAGCCGAAAACTGTACACCCTAGCTTGTGGTGCATTCTTTCAAAAAATCGGGACTTTTAAAAATTGCCGCGGGACATGGGAAAAATTGTTAAAAATCGGGACTATCCCGCCAAAAGCAGGACATCTGGTCACCTTAGTGTACAGCCGAAAGGGAGGCTGCCCTGACCAAAGCTCTCCTGCACTCAAGGATGGAGGGATGTGTGCTCATCTGGGGACAGGTGAGCAACCTCACCTGTGTGCCTGTTGACCCTGATCTCGAGTTGTAGCCTTTTCCTTCCTTAACAAACCCCTTACCTGTTAAGTACCATCTGTGAGCTCTGCATGGCCACTGCAATGAATTCTCAAACCCAGCCAAGAAACAGAGAGAGAGAGAGTGCCGTGGGACAATGACTGGAGATCGAAGTGGTGATGGATTGGAGAGAGGGAGTAGGTCTGACCTCCACTTCAAAGGGGCCTGCTTCTCAGCCCGCAGGGACAGGGGCAGTTCTTTGGGGTGCTGGATCACAAGGCCATGCAAGTAACATTCTATCCCCAAGTGACTCTGAGTAGTTTTGCATGTGGTGGTGCTTGGAGAGATCACTGGCCACGGGCCTTACATGACCCATTTCGCAGACTCGACCATGGCTGACGGAGGCCGGCCCCGTGTTCCTCAGCATGAGTCTGAGGCCCACCTACCAGCAGCTGGCCCAGGGTGAGCTGCTCCGTGCAGCCCCGGCTCTCATTCCGACAGTGGGTCTGCAGGGCGAGGATCTCTCTCTTGCAGCAATTATCCTTAAACACCTGCAAGGGAAAGAGTGTTCTTTTAAGAGGATTAACAGTTCTTCAGCTCCAAGTTAATACCTCTTTAAGAAAATCAGCAGAGCTCTTAAAGTGGACCAGGGTCACACTGGGGACCAGCTGAACTGCCACCAGGAGGGTGGAGGCGTGGCCTCACTAAGGTGCCATTTGAGCAATAAAAACTTTAATTACAGTCCAGAGAAAATGAGCTATGTGAATACTGAAGACCATTTTGGGGTAGCCAGGCAATTTAGGTGAATTTAGGTACAATCTCAAGACAGGGTGAGGGCGGGGCTGAGTCCAGCGGGCGGGGTCCACAGGCCCCCAGTGCCCAAATGGAAGTGGGGTGGCAGGAGTGGGTGGGTGGGTAAGGCTCCTCACCAAAGCTGGAAGAGAGTCTGCTGTCACCCATGCTTCTAGAATGCTTGCCAGTCAGACCCTGGAGTGACCGGGAAGGGCTCTGCTGTATGAGTGGTTTACAAAATACTTGTCTTAATTCATTCTGCTAAATTGATGTGGCCTATTTGTGTGCTTGTGCGCTCACCTGTCCGCCCCTCAGAAAAGGCGGCAGAAGCCCTGGAGGCCCACCTTGGGTTAATCTGACGATAAAGAATGCTCCTAGTCTAAAAGGAGAGCACACTCGCTGCTGTGTTCAAAGCACTCACTCTCTGTCTACCAGCCCTGTCCTTGGGCTAAGTCCCAAGTCACTCCGACCCGTGTGAGCTGTATGTCCAGGCGGAAACCTGGATGGGGACCCTAACAGGCCTTTCTCAACCACCACAGCAGAGTCACCGCATCGGCGACTGTGAGGAGTCAAGAAGCAACTCATTTCAGAGTTGAATCTAATCCTTCATAAACACAGGTTATTTTTTCCTTTTCTAAGGCCATTATTTCAGGCACCATAGCCAACAAAGATCTTAACCAGTCAGAAATATGCTTCCCCTTCATGCTGTTTGCCGAGTTACTTGAGCCTAACCTCATGGATAAAGACCACGAAATAAGCACGGCAGGGTAACAAACGCAGGATTTCAGAGCTAGAAAAGAGATGGGAATATTGGCTCCGGTTATGGGGGAGGGGCCGGCTCCTGCTCTCTCCCATGAGGGCCTGAGCTTCTGTCACGCTCCTTTTGCACTTCCTTAACAGATCAGAGCCCCTCAGCTGTCCGCGCTGTGCCCTTGGAGCAGAGGGGCAATGCTTCTGAGACTTGATCCAGGGATGTCACAACGTGTCATCCTGTGCTCACCCACACTTTGCAGGGACTGGGAAGTCGAGCTGGGGGGCTTGTTCTTCCCAACCGGCCCTCTGCCAGGAACAGAAATCCCTACTGGTAAGGCCACAGAAGATGCCGCCCAGGAGGGCCGAGGGATCAGGAACCAGGCCTCTGGACCAGACACCCAGGGCCCAGCACACTCCCTGGTCCTCCTGATGGGAGACAAAGCCCGCCTGGGGAGTGCTTGGCCAGGAAAGGGCCCTGAGCAAGAATGACGCCGGGATATGGAAGAACCTGCCTGCATTTATAGAACGGTGAGGCCCATTAATCAAACTACCAGGAGCACCCGTTTGTATTGATAATTTTAAGTACTTTCGGAATGAGTCACGTCCAAACTCAACATGCGCCTGGCAGGAGTTAGCAGCACCTGATGGCATTAGGGCCCCAGCTGAGAAGCTGGGCAGGCAGGCTGGCTGGAAGTGCCCTTGCCAATCCCACCCTGCAGCTTGAGCGCGTGTGCATGTGTGTGTGTGTGTGTGTGTGCCTGTGTCATTGAGGGTCAGAGAGCACTGCTTCCAGGGGTCCAGTTGACATAGGCACAGGTTTATTCCACACAGAACACACGCCTTGGAGCAGGGGGCGGCCGCAGAGAGGCCCTCTCGGGAATTCACTTGTGTTTTAGTCTCCTTGGGGCATCTCCAAGAAAGGACTAATGGGACCAGTGGCTTCTGGCCTGGTGCAATTCAAGGCAGAGGGGTCAGCTCTGAAGCCCAAAGGGCCATATCTCAGTAGAGTTTCTTGCCGGAAGCAGGACAAGCGCAGGGGCTTGGTAGGGAAAGTGCTAAGCCACTGCCACACTGCAACGCTGAAGCACAGGCTGGCATTTGTCCTCTGTCACAACAGCAAGAGCTGTCCCTGGAGCAGCTCACAGGGAGCCACCCCGCAGCCCGCATCAGACACCTTCAAGCTCTTGTTCCCCAAATTAAAGGAAATTAGCACTTACGAAGGTACACAACCTGAGCCCCTCCAGGATGGGTAGAGAGACGGACACACCGCCTTCAGAAGCGGCTCGGATGCCCGTTTTGATGTTCTTGTTTAATAAGTGTCTATGATTTTATAGCAGTTTTGGCTTGCCTTTGTACACATGTGTGGCTCTGGGTGTGTGTGTGCATGTGTACAGGAGCCCGGGGAGCATCAGGTGATGGGTGGGGCTGCTACCTGCAAGCTCAGCCCAGGAGGAAGTCAGGGCTCCCTCCTGTATAGCCCTGCAGTCTCAAAAACCCACAGGACACTTCTACCCTCTCCTAGAAGGGTCGCTATGAACTGGCATCAACTCAATGGCAGTGAGTTAGTTTTCTTCAGTGCGTATATGTGTATGCATACCTCCACGTGTATGTGCCTGTGTGTATGTGAGCCCGCACACCAGATGAAATGTCACGTGTCTAAGGATTCTGAGATACAGCATGAGGGGTAGAGAAAGGGCAAACTCAGATCAATACCTCAGATTAGCACAGGTCTGACAGGGTACAGGGTAACTCAATACCGGGTTCAATACAAGCTATCTGGGACCAAGACCCCAGGTCAAGGCAGTGGCTGAGCCCTGGCTGGGGTAACCACAGGGCTGGGCCTGCATGCATGACTCGGCCTCGTCCACACCCTCTCATCCCGTCTGCAGGTCTGCGAGCTGGTGTACTCTCGTACGGGGGGAACTCGGGCTCAGAACTGTCAGTGGCCTGGCCCACTGTGGACACAAGCCCAGAGCCTCCATGCCTCTTGCTGCGTGAGGTCAGATGGCCAGGCCCTGAAAGCAGCCTGTGGGAGAATGACACCCAGTTCCACACGCCCAGCAACATCCCTTCTCAAAACCAGGAGTACCTTATCTTTGATGATGCCCTCTTGACAGGCGGTACACTTGGGACTGGCAGAGCTGAGGGAGAAACACAAGGAACAGGTTAGAGCAGGAACCTGTGTCTCCTCGCACCTCCCAGCGCAGTCCATCCCAGGGCTCAGCCCCGGCTCGCTGCGTGGAACGGTGGCAGCAGCGGCTGGGGTGTGGCTGGCTGGACAACCATCAATGTAACTCGGCTCTCAAAGGAAGTCTGCAGACAGAGCGGTTCATTTCAGTTCTGCTCGGAAAGCCCCTTTCAGAGAAAAGAAAAGTGAAAATTTCTTGCAGAAACCAAAATGAGTTCTCCAGAGTGTCTGGAGGGTCCCTGGAGACCCCGCCTTTTCCCATCGACCGGTACTGGTGTCTTCACTCAGAGACCCACAGAAGGCACACAACTCGGGGATTTTAAACGGGAGGTTTAACAAATCCACTGGCCACCCTGTCCCCAAACTCCAGCCACAACCTGCTGCTCCCCCCGGCTGCCCTTACCCAGACCTGGCCCCCACTGCAACCCACCCTGTGCCTGGAAACCACACGGACACCTGAGGGGAGCCTCAGGGCCTCCTTGGCACCCCTGGCCCAGCCGAAGAGCACTAGCAGGCCAAGCGGGGCAGGGGCTATGAGCCCCTGAGTCAGTGAAAGAGGGTGTGTGTGGGGGGGGCAGAGTGGGACTCAGTGGGACCCACAAGGTCTGGGAAGCCAGACAGGGTGGGTGAGAGCCGTTGGGGTGGTAAATGAACTTCTTTAAAAAGAAGAGCTTATCTGCTCCAATTCTACCAGCAGAGTCCCTGGGGCATGAGTGGCTGGCTCACTCAGCTGCTAACCAGAGTTGGGGGTTTGCCTCTACCTAGAGGCACTTGGAAGGAAGGCCTGACCGCCTGCCTCTGAACACCCTTTGAGGTGCAGTTCTACGTGGATGCCATGTGCCAGAGCGATTGCCGGGCAGCCAGCTGGTTAGTGGTATGGAACTGTGTTCATGGAAAACCTCTTACATCTGGTGACAGGAGCTGGGCACCCCCCCAGGGGTCCCTGACACCTGCAAGATGGAGGGTGGGGGAAGCTGGGAGCAGATAGCTGGAGGGGAGCTGCCCAGGCCTCCTAGGCCTCCTCCCCTGGCTTAGACTCACCCCTGGGCTTCTACCAAGTTCTAAGCGGCTCAGGAGCTGGCTCTGAGCATTTCCTCCCGGCCCCTCCAGAGCTCTCCACCTTGAAAGGAAGGGGGGGGGGGCAGGGAGGGCCCACCTCAGCAGGGCGGCCATGCAGGTCTCGCAGAAGCGGTGGCCACACTCCGTCTGCCTCGGGTTGCACAAGACCAGGCGGCACTTCTCACACTTGTACTTGTCCTCTACGGTCCTCACAAACTTCTCCTTGTAGCCCCCCTGCTCGGGGAGAAACACAGCTGCCCCCACGCTGCGGTCAGAGGTCAGCTTCAGCAGAGGGTTGGTCTGCAGGGGGCCAGTGGAGTCCATCTTCTTACTGGACTCCATGTCGCGGGCGGGGCCTTCTGTGGGAAGAAACCAACAGGTGAGGCCAGCGCATGGGCAGGCTCTCATCGCTGACCTGGCAAACACAGGACACCTCCCCCAACCCCCATGGGGCAGGAGCAGGACAGGCTCGGGTGTGCTGCACTCCCTTCTCTGGACCCAAACACTCGTGTGTGTGTGTGTGTGTGTGTGTGTGTGTGTGTGTGTGTGTGTGTGTCCCAGCTGCAGGACCACTCTGCTGTGGTCACATCAAGGTCTGGTCATGGGTCCCCCTCGGTCCAGCCCCCTCTGCTGACTGGGCTGCCCTGAGCAGCTGAGCTCCGATGACCTGTGGGGTCCCCACAGTGCCTCACACAGGCATGCTCGGACTCGACATCACCCTCATTCAATGACCTTCACACAGGACTCGAGAGAAGACCCCCAGGGACTTCGGAGCCCCTCCCAGCACTGCCTGGAGTTCAAGGGACAGAGGGCTGGCAAGGCAGAGTGGAGCTGCTGGGCTCCCACTCTTCAGGTGGCCGGGCAGAGGCTCCGGAGCAGCGGCCCAGCCCTAAGGATCCCAGCCTGAGCCGCCAGCGGGACCTGGAGACTCCACAGGAGGAAGGCGCAGGGACACAGGTGGAATCAAGTTCATGAGGCGCATGTGCGTGAATTCAAAGCCCAGGATGCGTGATACATATGCATCAGCGAGCTGATTAATGATCCTAAATATTTATTAACATTTATCTGCAGCACAAATTAAACACCTTCGGGTAGGGGTAGGAGGGGGGTGTCCCTATTCCCCATGCGCGTTTGTGATGGTAAGTTGTTCATGCAGGGTACTTCCAGGCTCCCCGGGGGCACTGGGCACTGTTCTCCTGCCCAGCTCCTTAGTCCCGTCAAGTCCTCTGGCTAGTGGCCCCAGTAGCGTCTCCAGGCACAGCTTGCACCCCAGCAGTTACCAGCCTGAGCCATCCCCACTCCCCTACTCAGCTCAGGGAGCCGCTGCCCAGGTGCTGGGTACCCCTCTGCCGAGGCTGTGCTTGGGGTTTCCCCAGGTGGGTTTGGACCCCGCTGTCTTTGCTCTCTCACACCAACTGCCCAGGGAGGTGAGAGGTGCACGTCTGTACCCCATCCAGTCACTGCTGTTACTTAGAAACTTCCAGGGCTCAGTTTTCTCTGCTCATATGTCCTGGGTGTCTGCCTGCCCAGAACCTGCCAGGCCTGTTCCCACACTGCCTCGTCCTGCTCCACTCTGCAGGGGGATGGGCACTGATGTGGCAGCAGCCCCCCGAAATACTAGTGAGCCAGTGTGCCGTGGTTCGTGATGAGCTTTTCATAAAATACCCCGGATCGGGGGTCAAGTGGGGAGCCTGCTCTTGACCCGCCAGGCCTGCAGACTTGTGCTTCAGAACAGCATCATGAAGGAGGAGAGGTGCCAGGTACTGGTCTCCTGCCAGAGAAAGGGGCCTTGAGGGCTTGTCCAGGAGGGCACCTACTGCCCGCCAGCCATCTCCTCTGGCCGAGTGTGTCCACTCTCGCAGTCCTCTGCATGGCCAGCCCCCTCCTGGAAGGTGCCAAACAGGCCCCCAGGTCAGACTCTCCACCAAGTCAAGGAGGCTCCTCTGGCCAGTGCGGGTTTCCCCACAGCCCCCCACACTGCCTGCACATGGAGGCTCCCCTGCACCCTTATGGCTGCCACTGGGCAGCTCCTGAGGTGCAGGTTCCTATCTGCTGGGTGACTGGCTGGTCAACTGGGCCCTGGAATGGGGCCTGAGGATGGGAGGTGCTCAACCAGCATGTGACAGATAGGTGGGGACAGGTATTTCTGGGGCCAGGCGAGACCAGGAGCAGGGAATAGAGCCCCTCAGACCTCACCTGGCAGTCGCCCACCCTGGAGCACCCTGCTCGATTGGGCACACTCTTTACAAGGTCTCCCGGAGGCCTGGGAAGCCATGGTACATGGGAGCCCTTTGATGAGAACTGCTTGTGTGTGGGAGTGAGGCTACTATTTCAAATGCGAGTGAGAAGTGAACACGGGGCCAGCTCACGACAAAGGTCACATGTGGATGAAGCTGTCACAGGTCCGAGGCTGCACAAGCAGTAGAGAGTCATTATGCAGCTCAAGTTTTTACAGAAAGCAGAAGAGACACAGGCACGAGGTAACGGAAGCCACGGAGAGGCGCCCGCGGTGGCCCTGTCCTGGTGGTGCTGACCCTGCAGGGCTGGACGCTGATGCAGCATCCATCCCTGTGAATGGGCCACCGGGGCTCCTGGCCCCCGCACGTCAGTCCTGGGCTGAGCTCCACAATGGGGCCCCGTGGTGCTGAGGTAGCAGGCAAGGATGCCACACCATCACAGCCTAACATTTGTGTGTGTGCGTGTGTGCGTGTGTGTGTGTGTGTGTGTGTGTGTGTGTG